TAGGTTTTGTCAGAACCAATAATGCACTATTTTGGATTTTCATGAAAAAACAAATGCCTCAGATTGCAGCAATGAGCGTCTCCATACCCGGGAGTCTGATTTATGTGGACCTCTGGTGTAAAACTAATTGCCCGCAATGTTTGGTAATTGATCATACTAGTATAATAGCTCTTGATACATAATCATGTACAAAGCGTATATATCTTGAAAAAATAAGCGGTTTTTGGAAATAGCATATATGCCAACGTCTTAAGATAACTGAGATATTAGGCTCTGCAAAATTAAATAAATCTAAAACAAACCTAATTTGCTGCTATATCTCGATCAGATCGAAAGTGAGAAGGAACGTCGCGCGTCAGTACTCAACCCATGCGCCGTTAGCGTAGGTAAACAAAACATTTATTTACGAATCGGTTCGAAAATAACCAAAATGGCATTCTTGTACAGTAATATCGAACTTTTCGACATGATTTTAATCTATGGAGTGTGTCTTCAAAATGCTACCTTGTTCCCCAGACGTTATGATTCGGGGCCGGATAGATTTGTTTATCTTGTGCAAAGTGCTAGAGATAGAGGTCGTTTGCAGGAATATCAAGGTGGGCGTAGTGGGAGACCTAGACAACCCCAAATGGTGCAAACTGATGAGGAAGGATTATTGAATCTTGTAGAAAAAGTCCTTCAACAAGCACGAGTGAAGTGGCTAAACAAGTGCAAGTCTCCAAGATTAAATCTGATTATTTTCCTTCAAGGGTGCGTTTTTGTGAGTAGTTGTTGCACCAACATGAAGATAGTCCGGAGTTGAAGAAAGTCCATATTAGTCACGGAAGAATCAACCTTCACCGAATGAATAACTTCTGAAATACTCATGTGTAGATATTGGAAAATCACCACGTAGTCCGTAGGTCACATTTTCAACGAACATTTTCTTTTAATATTTGGGCTGGCATGGTAAATTATTGGCATTGGGCCTTTTATTTCTCCAAATTGGCTGGACGGTTTACAATACCTAGACTTTCTACGAAGCATTTCACCAACTTTTTTATTTTGTCACTTATTCGTTACTGTTTCACCACACATTAGCTTTGTTGTTTCAAACATAGTTGTTTCTGAAAAGGAAAGTCCCAACTTTCAAGACACCGGATAATATCGCGCACACCTGGTATGGCGCCGCTAGCTATATTATACTTTTATACGTCACTAGGATCTAATAACAAAGATGCAATATTTATAAATCACCCGGTAGCGCAAGGTATGTGCTACCGATAGGCGATCCGTCTGTTGAAAATATCTTAAGTTTTAAGTGCAAATGGACCGGCAAATCTATGAGATGAGAAATATAAATAAGGGATGTGTAAAATTATCAGGGTTGGAAGTTATTAATGTACTAATAAAAAAAATTGGGATACAACCTCACCCACCCCCTACACCTCAACACACCTCTGAATCTTAAAAAAAATGATCAGGAGCCGCTGAAACGTCAAAAAAGTGCTTCCTGTTTTTTCCGTTTTTTTCCTTTTTCTCGGCCGTCAGTGGACATATATTCTCCAATCTACAAAGCTTTTTCGTCCTTGCCATAGTAGTGAGTTAAGAGAAACATTGATCCAAGGATTATTGAACATGCAGACCGACCGAACGACAGATGGTTTTCGTGATGAACTTGTCATGTAACATCCTACAAACATAATATCTCAATTTAGCAGTTACAATACGCTGGTGTGGCGTGAAAAGTGGAAGTAAATCAGTTTAATCGTCATTCATAAAAATACTGGGTGTAAAGTTAGTAGAGGATCAACGGAAGTCAGGTGATAGAGGGCCTCAAAACATATCGAATGAACCCCTATATGTGTGGTTCGAAATGTTATAGTTCAGGAGATATTTGCAGTTTTGTGAAATTTCGAAAAAAACGAGATAATAATGAACTTTCAATCGCAATTACAACTAAACCCTAAACCCTAAACAGGGCTGTGATTTTTTTCTGAGATGACCTAAATAGTTTTAGCAATGGGTATGTCACTTTTTAACAGAGCTTATTAGAAATCAACGCAAAAAATCTTAAATTTATTTTTTTTTGTGAAAAATCTCTTCCATCCCTCAACTTTGGAGGGCGGTAAATAAAATGTAGGTTGTATTTCATTATTCACTTTATCGTAAAAACTTTTTCAATCCATGTAGAATAAACCCTGAAAATTTCAGCTTGGTGCCTCACCTTAAAAAATCTGTATTTTTGACGCAGGTGGTTATCTATACATGTAAAGTTTTACTTTACGAGTAGAAGAATATACAAATGTCAACCAGTAATAACGACTTGATGGATTTTGACATATGAGGTACTGTTAGATCCGTACTAGCAGTGCGAGTGATACTGCGTGTATTAACATTTTGTAAAATCAAAATGGCAGATTTTTTACGTAAATAGCCAAATCATCTTAATGAGCTTGGGCATTCAACTCGGCATTCCAGGTGCGGGAGTGTTCAATCTTCGATTCAACCGAAATTACTAAGTCAGGCAATGGTCCAGCGCGGAATTTCTATCTAGCGTTTGGCATCTAAGTAGAATCATGTTATATTCTCCGCAAGATTATGCAGAAATGCATTATTATTACGCTGGTGCTCACATGTATCTGGAGTATGTGGTTAGAAGAACCGGCGGTATATCCCTATTATCGCGTTTTTCTACGCATCCACAATGCGTATATGGATTGCCGCGTACTAGGCACTAATCGTCAGCTAGGAGTGCCGAGGATACGCCCAGAAGAAATAGAAGATACAATAATAGAAGCAGCCGAGAGAGATCCCTCTATAAGCACCAGAGCCATTGCCCGAGGCAGAAACATATTCCATACTTCAGTGCACAGAATACTACGCTCGGAGAACATGCACCCTTACCATGTACAAAAAGTACAAGAATTGCTTCCAAGCGACTATGCACAACGGGTTGAATTTTGTGAGAATATGTTGAGAAGGTGCGACAGCATCTTATGGACAGATGAATCCAGCTTTAACCGAAATGGAATATTCAACATGCACAATTTCCATTCATGGAGCGTGGAAAATCCACACGCTATTCGCCGACACAGCTTTCAACGTCAGTTCGGCGTGAATTTATGGGCTGGAGTACTCAACAAAAAATTAATTGGACCATATGAATTGCCTGCCAGGTTGAATGGTCAGTCATATCTTGCTTTTCTACAAAGCAGTTTGCATGAGCTGCTAGAGGATGTAACTTTGGACGTTCGAAGCCGCATGTATTTTCAATGCGATTGTGCCCCATGCCACTTTGCACGGAATGTACGGCATTAGTTAGACGGTGCCTTTCCTGGGCGATGGATAGGTAGAGGTGGATACATATGATGGCCTCCAAGATCACCCGATTTAAATCCTCTAGATTTTTTTATATGGGGGTTTTATAAGGGGATAATCTATACATCTGAATATACAAATGTCAACCAGCTGCGCCAGAAAATTGATGAAGCAAAAATAAAACTTTACTAGAAGGTACCGCTTGTGTAGAGAAAATAATGGAGGCCATTTCGAACATGTTCTTTAAAAGTTAGTTAAAATAAATTATCTTCCACATTTGCCGGTAAATCGACATAAAGAGCGGCTAAAGACAATCGATTCTGTACTTACAGGTGGTAAGGATTCTATTGCGTTTCTTACGTTTATCACATCATAACAACGAATGTGACATGATACACTCATCGTAGCAAGCTGAAGTTTTCAGGGTTTATTCTACATGGATTGAAATAGTGTTTCCAATAAAATGAATAATGAAATACAACCTCATTTTTTTACCGCCCTCCAAAGTTGAGGGATGGAAGAGATTATTCACAAAAAAATGAATTTGAGATTTAAGATCGGTGCTTTGGCAGTCGCACGGCAGTCGCCTCTCGGCGACAATGGAATGATGCAGTTCCCGGTTCTGCGTGCTGGATTATTTTTTCAATCAAATTTCCCGTTATTACCGGAACCATAACCATCTCAAGGAAAGAACATCTTTCACGCATACCAAAGATGCAACATTATAACCTCCCACACAACATATAATTCCCAAACCCCTACATGGGGGTTAAAGTGGAGAGACGGTTCAGGGTAGCAAATTTTCAGGTTGCAGGGAAATCATTAGATATGGAGCTTGTTTTGCTAGATCTTTTGGTAATGAAATTCAAGAGGAAAAGATGTTCCCCAACACATGCTATCACAGAGGTGTGGAAGTTTGTAACTCACTTTCTCCAAAAAATTAGAAACTAGAAGATATAAAGTATAAAAGTTAGCTTTACATACCCAAAAATGTTTAGCTTTGATTAATGCATTGCATAGAATATACTACAATAGGACACTTTCCATGAATAAATGTTCAAGAAGTAGAGACTAAACCTGACTTGAACACTTGAACACAGCACACAAGCGCTCTAGTTACGAAGTACTCACAGCAATAATCTACCAAACATATCTAGATAATATAAACGTAAATTTGGTATTTTTACAGTTTACAGGTAAAATGAAGCCGAACATACTTCTGTTATCTATGACATTTCCTTATCAAAAACAATTATATATAGGGTGTCCCACTATATATTGACCCTCTAACTTTTTTGTATGACCGTACTACGTAACTTAAAAAGTGACATTATGTCGATTTTTCAAAACATTATGTAGGCTTTTTAACATTATGCAGGTTTTCCTATAAAATGTTACATTTGAACCTAGACAGGCCCGACGAGAGGGGGGGAATCGGGTACTTTTCCCACCGGGCCCGCACTTTTTAAGGGGGCCCGGGCAGACGCTGAAAAATCAATTCGAAAGAAAAAAAAGTTGTATGCATAATAATATGTATTGGGTGTGTTATACAGTAGAACCTCGATTATCCGGCACTCGATTATTCGTCAACTTCCGTTATTCGTCACCCATCCCGTTGTTCAAAATGAATTCGAAGAATTTAATTCGCAGCCCGACGACAAATATTTCTGCTGAAATTGTTGCCTACCGAAAACACAGCTATGGATCAGAAAGAAAATCGAACACCTAATATTTCATCCATAAAGCAAACATTTTCATATCTTCCTGGATTTGAAGACATCTCAGAAAATGACATTTCTAATTGGTTAGATATGGACAAACACGATGTAGGATATGATATTTTACCAGACGACGAATTAATTAACCACGTTTTAAAGCCTTTAGAAGCCAATGATCATGAAGATTGTGAAGATGACTTACCTGATAATCCGGAAGGTAGCATTAGCCATGGGGAAGCTGAGGATATGGTAACACAAATTATACAATGGTACGAAAATCAAGAGGAAGCATAACTCGTTCAACTAGTATTACTGAGGAAAATACGCTGCCTTGCAAGAAAAAAAGCTCCCAAAAGATAAAGCAAAAAAAATCACAGACTTTTTCAAAAAAGCATAGTGTTATACATAATTTAGGTTACTGTTTATGACATAATGTTATGTTTATACATATATGTTTGTTTATTACTTTTTTTGATTACTATGTTCACAAGTTGTTTTTAGTTTGTTTTAATAAATTCCTGTCGTTTTCTATTTTCCGTCTTTTTCCCGTATCCGTCGCACCTTGGTCCCGACCCCTGACGGATAATCCAGGTTCTACTGTATTTCGCTTGATGCGAATTCCTTATATGTAATTCAAAATAGATTCTTTTAGAATAAAAACACATTTTTGATTAATTTCAAGTGAGACACACAATACAATTATCACGAAGACTTAAATTCACTTCCAAAATGTAAATGATATAAATAAAACATTATTTACCATTAAAGTTAATAATTTACTCGACAAAGCTTTAGGAATGATATGTGTTGTTTTTCTCCCCCAATAGTGAAATATTGATCATCAAGGATAAACAGGTTAAAGACCTATTTCAATTTTCTATAATACTAATACACCGGGTTCGTCGCTTCTTCATGATTATTAAAATGATATTTTTTTCTCAAATTTTTTCTTGACCTTCCACTCAATGCTTATCAGGTTAGTGCTTTTATTTTACCCGATTATTTGCACTGTAGAAAGAGTGTACAACTTTATTGGAACGCGTGCAACATAATATGAACGATATATTTAGCAGAATCGAAAGAAATCGTGAAAATCATAAAAGAAAGAGGGCCGAGGTAGGGGCCCGCGCTTCGGTTCCCCCGAGCCCGGATTTTCTCTCTGCGGCCCTGGAACTAGATGACATTCTCTTCATGCTCACTTGTAGTAGGCGCGGAATGAACTAGCGACACACTAGCGTCTACCTAGTGCACAAGTTGATATATTACCGATTTTTTGACATTTAGGTTTTTTACGTAATCTGTCAAAGTGATATGCATATACAGGGTGTAAAGTTAGTAGTGGATCAACGGAAGTCAGGTGATAGAGGGCCTCAAAACCTATCGAATGAACGCCTATATGTCTATATGTGTGGTACGAAATTGTATAGTTCAGGAGATACTTGCAATTTTGTGAAATTTCGAAAAAAACGGGATAATGAACTTTCAATCGCAATTACAACTAAATCATTAGGTTTAGGGCTGTGATTTTTTTCTGAGATGAGCTAAATAGTTTTAGCAAAAAAATGAGGTTGTATTTCATTATTAATTAATTAATTAATATTGCTTGTATAGATTATCCCCATATAAAACCTCCATATAAAAAAATCTAGAGGATTTAAATCGGGTGACCTCGGAGGCCATCGTATGTGTCCACCTCGACCTATCCAACGCCCAGGAAAGGCACTGTCTAAGTTATGCCGTACATCCCGTGCATGGGGCACCATCGCATTTAAAATACTTACATGCGGCTTCGAACGTCCAAAGGTACATGCTCTAGCTAGCAGCTCATGCAAACTACTTTGTAGAAAAGCAAGATATGACTGACCATTCAACCTGCAGGGCAATTCATATGGTCCAATTAATTTTTTGTTGAGTACTCCAGCCTATAAATTATCGCCGAACTGACGTTGACGCGTGTGGATTTTCCACGCTCCATGAAAGGAAATTGTGCATGTTGAATATTCCACTTCGGTTAAGGTTGGATTCTTCTGTCCATAAGTTGCTGTCGAAAAAGGCTTCATCCTCTTCGCACCTTAACATATTCTCACAAAATTTAACCCGTTGTGTTGTGCATAGTCGCTTGAAAGCAATTCTTGTACTTTTTGTACATGGTGAGGATGCATGTTGTCCGAGCGTAGTATTGTGTGCACTGAAGAATTGGATATGTTTCTGCTTCGGGCAATGCTTTGGTGCTTATAGAGGGATCTCTCTCGGCTGCTTCTATCTCTTCTGGACGTATCTTCGGCGTTCCTAGCTGACGATGAGTGTCTAGTATGCGGCCCTCCATATGAAGGCGTAAAAAAAAACGCGGTAGTCGGGATATACCGCCGGTTGTGGTCCAACCACATACGAGCAGCTGCTCGAGCATATCCTAGGGCAGCACCATAATAGTAATTAATGCATTTCTGCATAATCTCGCGGAGAATATAACATGATTCTACTCATATGCCAAACGTTAGATATAAATTCCGGGCTGGACCATTGCCTGACTTAGGGCCGTATCGTCAGTCGTTCCTACAATTGTAGGTTTGCCTTTATGGTCTACTTGATTTTCATGGTCTTTTCTATCCTTCAGAAAGGCTGGGATATTTCTAGAGTTCTACTATTCCGAGTCAGCGTCAGCGCTCTCCTATTGTGAGGCTATGTTTTCTTTTTAAATCGAACAAAATTTCAGGCTATATAACAGATGATATAAATTAAAGGCTTGAACAGTTTGATGCAAATGGATATTTGTAACATAACCTCAAAATAGAGCGCTGACACAGAACAGTAGAAAACCATGAAAATCAAGGAGGCCATAAAGGCGTCCTACAATAATTGTAGGAACGACTGACGATACGGCCCTTAGTAATTTCGGTCGGGCCAAAGATTGAACGCTCCCGCACCTGGAATGCCGAGTTGAATGCCCAAGCTCATTAAGCTGATTTGGCTATTTGCTTAAAAAATCCGTGATTTTGATTTTATAAAATGTTAATAGACACAGTATCACTCGCACTGCTAGGACGAATCTAACAGTACCTCATATGTCAAAATCCATCAAGTCGTTTGGACTGTAGCTCGTAAAATAGAATTTCTTGTTTACATGTATAGATACCCACCTGCGTCAAACATACAGATTTTTTAATGTGAGGCACTTATCGTTGGAAGCTGAAATTTTCAGGGTTTATTCTACATGGATTTAAATAGTTTTCACATCAAAATGAATAATGAAATACAACTTCAATTTCTTTACCGCTCTCCAAAGTTGAGGGATGGAAAAGATTTTTCACAAAAAAATGAGGTTAAGATTTTTTGCGTTTATTTCTAATTAGCTCTGTTAAAAAGTGGCATAACCATTGCTAAAAATAACCATTTAGCTCATCTAAACCACAGCCCTAAACCTATTGGTTTAGTTGTAATTCCGATTGAAAGTTCATTATCCCGTTTTTTTCGAGATTTCACAAAATTGCAAATATCTCCTGAACTATAAAATTTCGGACCACACATACAGGAGTTCATTCGATAGGTTTTAAGGCCCTATATCACCTGACTTCCGTTGATCCACTACTAACTTTACACCCTGTATATTTTGCGCAACTTGACCTTTTTTTAAATATTTCTTTTACGTGCATTATTTTCATTGTTGTTTTGTTTGTGCTATTGTGAATAAATTGTGCTTCGTGCGAAAACAACACATTGACTAAAATTTGCAGCGACTGCACCACGCTTGCAAACAACTTCTCAGCATTAATATGATATTAATGCAACGGTAAACACTAAGTGAAAGATTTTAACCTCCTATTTTGCAGCAACGGTTTAATGCTATCCATATTTCATACAGGTACTCAGTTTTTCAAACAATTTAAGGAAATATCAATATTGACAGTTATCGAGCGAAACAAACAAGTTTTTAGTACTGCTTCGTTGGAAAAAGATGGTCAGTTACGCATTATAAAACATTGACAGAAAAGTCCAACCTGTGGGAAGATGTTACAACAAGATATTCAGTCTCTGTTTTTCTCTCCAAAACCTGAAGGGAAATACCGTCCTCTAAATTAAATGTTATATGTGTTATCTCAGGAACAAATATTGGATTTCATTCAAACTTTGAATATCAGAATTATGGATTCGGACATGATTTTTAACGGACCCTGTAGTACTGCAATGATTTGTTTACATTGAGTACACTAACAATTAGAAGATTCATAACTATCTTTAAAGTGTATAACCTTTGTACCTATAATATGTCATGAGATGCGTCAAGATTGGGGAAGCTAAGGGGTAATACTGAAATTGAATCTTATGGACTAGTGTATAACTGTTGGAAATGGAAACCTTTCAGACAAGTATTTAACCCCTTTTATATAAACTACCTGCACTAAAGCCATGCTTTTCAGAATATAAAGTGTTGGAGAAAATAGGAGAAGGGTCTTTTTCTGAAGTGATGAAATGTGAAAATAGGGCATCGCAAAAATGTTATGCAGCTAAAAAGTTGAAGAAGGTATACAAAACGTAAGTTACTAGAGTAAGCTGGTCAAAAGCATAACATAACGACTATTTTTCAGGGAAGCAACTATCATGAATTGTGCGGAATTAGTAGCAGCACAAAAAATTCCTCATCACCCCAACATTGTAAACATGTTAGAGTACCACTAGTATGTTAGTAATAACTTAACTTTGTTGGGAACGTTTATAATTTTTTATGTTTTCAGTGATTCTTTCAGTGGACAACTAATTTTTATTTCCGAGCTAATGGATATGAGTTTGCACGATTTTCTGAAAACTAAAAGAAGGTAAGATGCAACTGTAATGCATCAAATTAGAATATAAATTGTTCGAGGATGACATACATTTGGTGGCAATAAACTTTTTTGAGACAAATAAAAAGTCCAATGCCATCTAATATGAATTGTGTATAGTACAAATATTTTGGTAACTGAATTGTAACTAAATAGGATCATTTGGGGAAGTCATTTTACTTATTTTTTTAGGGGGCTTTCTGAGCATAGAGCAAGGAACTATTTATACCAACTTCTTAAAGGTTTAGAACATTTACACAAACATGGCCTTTTTCACAGAGACGTAAAACCTGAAAATATTTTAATGAAATTTCCATCACTTCTTTATGCATCGTTGTCGGAAGCTTGCACAGTAAGTTTAAATATGGACGTAACCAATAGTAGATAGTTCAATACAGAAAATGCACAATTCTTTGGCTGATACACAATGCATCCCATATTAATCTCTCAGATATAAAGAGAAAATGATTTTGCGGAGAAAGGTATATAATAAAAAATAGGAAAATAATGGGCAAAATCCGCAAAAAGAGGGAAAGTGGATTAGAGCAGAAAATAGGATAGGTAACCCGAGCAATAAGTATTTCTGCTTGTTGGCTTCATCAGGCCCGAAATGAATGCACATATGCAACCACAAAAGTAGATGCACATGCCCATACATCTGTATACCGGTGTAACATGAGGAAACTAAAATGGAGAGGGACAAAAATGACGTTCCTTCGATGAAGCCAACAAGTCGAAATACGTAATGCTCGGGTTACCTATCCTATTTTCTGCTCGAATCCACTTTCCTTTTTTTTGCTGATTTTGCCCATTATTTTCCTATTTTTTGTTTTATATATATATATATATATATATACTTTATATAGAACACGTTAAAATAATGTCACAAGTTCTTATAAAAATATTCTACGGTGAGTATGGGGCTACGGAGGTATAGGCTCCTAAAAGACCCTACGGGAACTCATACCTTTCTTGAATAACCTTTAAGCGATAACGGAATTTTTACAGCTTAGTAGCCAGTTGGTGCTTCACATGAAAGTGTTGAGGACGGACTAGCCCTAATGCAATATTGCTATTTTTACCATCCAGTGATAGTTCAATTATTATCTTTCTGGGAAGCCTATACCTGTATTTGATAGAATGTATTGTTGATTGACATCGATAAAATGTACCATTTTTGAGAAAAATACTCTTGATCCCAGTACAGAGCTATATTAATTTTGGGACTGAATCCAGTGGGTGCGGTCATGTTAGAAACAATTCTGATAAGATTCCTAGTCAGGCTGCATTTGTAAAACACTTGGTATGCCGTTCACAGTAATGGAATATAGATTGATCGATGAAATTTTAATCTGGAATACTGTGTAACTTTATTTTTAGAACGCCTAAATTATTACAGTCTTGTAATGACACTTGATCACAGCCTACTATAATTTCTAACCACGTTTTCTGCGACCATTTTTTTATTACAAGAAATGCTATGGATACGAAGTAGCCCATTTATCGTGAAAAGTATATATTCTGCCAATTTTAAGCACTTTTTGATAACCAAATAAAGTAAACAGTCAATGAACCATAACAATCACAAGTGACACTCTTCTTCCAAAGGTTTTGAGCACGGGAAGAAAAGTGCCTTTTGACGTTCCAGAAGGATAGCTTTGTTCTATTTCCGAACGCATGGAACAAGTACATCAAACAATTATTACTAACGCTGAAATTCACCAACGCAGCCCTGTAACAGTTCACGAACGCAGCCCTGATCAGTTGAGTTTCAGATTTTTGTTGGACTTGTTGAGAAATGGTTGCTGTGTAAACAGCAGTATCAAAGGTAGACTGGTTTTCTCAACAAAAAGGCTTCATTTATCGAAATCAAACAAGATATCATTTTTTCTTCAGCTAAAGCATGAGGCCTTCAAAAAATAATTTTTGCACCATTGTTATACAGAGAATAAAAAAATTCTTCATTCATGAGTTAGAGCTAGTCCACCTCAAAAGATCTAAATAAGTGAAAAGCTGCATTTCTAACGTGCACCGTGCTGAAGTGACACAAATGCTAAGATGCAGTTCAAATACTAATTTTCCTCGCCTATAAATTTTTAGGGACAGTGACAGTGATATGTTTAGCAAAAGTCAAACATGCTCTAGATCAAGATATTTCAATATAAAGGATTATTTTCTAGTACCGGTAGCTTTTTGCTAAGCTGCTGAAAGAAGAGTGTGCCAATGACCTACAGATACATAATAGGCACATGGACGGACGTTCAAAACAAATGCAGCTTTAATTGAATTCCATGGACACCACTATCAACAGCGCGATGGAGTTGCTACTTTTCCGCACGCATTTCAGTTTGGAAAAGTGTCACTTATTCGCACACTGTGCGGAAAGGTAAAAATGTCAACGGATGTTAAATTTAATCGTTGTTTGAGTGCACTACGACCCTATCCAGGATTCTGTCGTGCGCCATAAATTTTCAAGGTAGAGGAAAACTACTCTTTTGTTATTTGTTTAAGATTTATTTATCATGATTGCTACAATTACATTCTTCTAAAAAACTAAACAATTATATAACATCAAAATATCTTTAAATTACAAGTAGAATTTATATCATTATTTAGTTTATTAAATTCAAGTAATCCTTTCTGAGATATTGATTTGCTAGTTATATTACTATTGCAATTTTGCAAATGAAAATCTATATTTTCTCTTGTATAATAATTGTGATAATCATTATTCAATTCTATGTAGTGTTCTAAATGTTCTGGCAAAAGATGATTTTTTATTTTAAATATAAAAATAAAAACCAAATATGGTATGAAATTTTTTATAGTCAACATCAATGATAATACAATTTTATTGTGTTTACGTTTTTTGTTATTGAAGTATATGATTTCAATTGTTACCAGATATTGTTTTTTCCTTGTTAGGCACTAGTAGAAAAAATGTTTTTCCTAATCCAACTGCACTCGCGTGCGGAAAAGTATCACATTCCAAACTTGTTAATAAAATATTTCCAATAGTGTTTGTTCTTTAGCAGGGTGTTTTTTGGTAGGGCATTTTTTGTGCTCTATATGTATCCGATAGATTGACATGTTATTCTGCGTCACTTTGTAAAACTACAATCACAGACATTCACGTTCCGCCAGTTTTTCGCATATTTTGCCTTTGCGTAAATCGTTGAGTTGCAAATTATTGTTTTATACTTATGTGATATGACTCCCGATTTAGCAAGAAATCATCAAGTTAGCTGACTTGGGATCCATAAGGGGTATCTTCAGCAGGCCACCTTATACTGAATATATCTCCACCAGATGGTATAGATCTCCAGAATGCTTGTTGACTGTTGGTCAATATGGTGCCAAAATGGATATATGGGCAGCCGGATGTGTCTTCTATGAAATGCTGACGTAAGTTTGCAATGTTCCATTTTGCGTCCGTAATTTTGCTCAAAATCGTTTTCAATTTTTCCGGACTCCATGTGGGATGAAATTTGAAGATAAATTGTACATTAACATTGCCGTGTTATTCTCTTCGAGGTGATAATTAGAATTTTATTACGACGTATCGTCTCCTGTCCTCCATCAACTTTATTTTTTCTTATAGAAGTCATTTGGAATTTTGCGTATGTGAGCAGAATGTTTAATTTTGATTTAAAAGGATATGTAACACATTAATAATGTAAAACTATAATTATTAAAAAAAAATAATAATATCATTAGCTAAGCATTTCTTCAGATTTTATGAATTGGGCATAGACAATGCCTATTTTGGATTCCTTTAATGTACATAATATTTTACGGTTTGAAATAAATCAGCAGCTGCCTGTTGGAACTGTATCCAAGTTCGCATTGTAGGCCGCTAGATGCTGCCGATTCTGGTGCTATAGTAAATAAGGTCTACTCGCCATTGATCAAATTAGTAATATAGCTTTCGTTCGTCCCACCACAGGCGGCCAAACATGGACAGCTGTTTCATGCTATTTGGCAACTCGTCAGCATGGTGTATCCAGAGTATAAGGCAAGACAGCCAAAAGTGCCATCTTTTACCAGAATCGTTCGTTGTCCTACCTGAGACTATGCCTACACCAGGCTGAGGAGTTGCCAAATAGCACGAAAGAGCTGACTATAGTTGGCCCTCTGTGGTCGGACAAACGACAGATACATTTCTAGTTTCTTCAGTGGTGACCCGGCTGACAATGCGAACTAGGATACAGTTCCAACAGGCATCTTGCGGTTTTCACTTTCGCAGCGGTCGATTCTGGTAATAGATGGCTAGATTTTATTCATTACCTAAATGCACAAGTTTGCTACCATTTGCGTTTAAGCCACTTGGTATGTCAAACCGTTCCCAATATTTCAATTATGAGGATCGAATTTGGAACAGCCGGTACACTGAATTTACGATTATCATTGATAACGTATTTTACACGAAGATATCCAACCATATATTGCATTCCCTTATCGAAAAAGAGATCTGAAAGGTACTAAGCGCCATCTTTGGGACAGCATCCGAACACAAAAATGAATTCAGAAATCTACTCTGAAAAGAATGTTTGTTTCTGCTACTGGATCAGAGATGAGATTCTTTTTGGACGTCGGAATGTAGTAGTTGGTTGGCAATATTTCAGATAGAACTCGTTATTCAATGGCATAATGCAATTTTCTACCTAATAATTCCAGGTCAAGACCCATTTTTCCTGGGTCAGATGAAATAGACCAACTGCACAAAATACATGAAGTTTTAGGATCACCGTCCATACAATTCTTAGGTAAATTGAAATCTAGGTAGGTTAGTAGGCTGTTTATTATGCTTAAAGCTTAAGTTTCAGATTTCTGTCCCATTTTAATCTAATATATTTCTGAAACTGCTCATTCTAGAAAAAAAAGTCAAACAAAAGTTGTAAGGTTTCGAGGTGGTAAAATGTCGGTAACCTTGACTACTAGCTCAAGGTCAGGTGATTTTTTTTTAACTCGAACCCTCAAATATACTTCTAACGCCAAAACTGGCGAGGAAGTATTGAAATCGCGAAAAATTTCGAAATTTAGATATTATGTCTTTTGGATGTTATATGACATGTACATCACGAAAAACCATGTCACTCATTGTCTGGCTGTCTGCCGGTCTGTCCGCTAATTTTATAACCGTCCATAACTTGAGAAGTACCGCAAGGATTTTGATGACATTTTCACATAAGGTTACCACTATGCCGAGGATGAAAAAGTTTTGTAGTTTTTGAAAATCGGTCTAGTGATGGCGGAGCTAGGGGCAAAAACACGAAGAAAACAAGCATCGCTTAAACTTCCTTTTTGACGTTTCAGAGGTTCCTGATCATTTCGGAAAAAAAATTTACGGGTTGAAACGTGGGGCTGGGGGTTGTGGGGGTAAGGTAGGTAAGTATTAAGTTTAACGTCTGTAGTATTACTCAAAGACGTTATACCATTAAGAATCTTCTGATCCCGGTAATAACGGAAAAATTAAATAATAAAAGTCCGATGTATAATTCGAAATATAATAGTTGGTGTTGCGCGCACGGCGTGATGCTGCATCATCGTGGAGGCCACTCACGACTGTGCAATGGATAACAAACTTCAACTGGTCTGCGGTGGTGTTGTCACAGACTTACCGCTACAGGAAAAATATTTATATATTTTAGCAATATTTGGATGTTAGGAGCACGTACCACTTTAGCGTTCTGCGATGCTTTTGTAACTATTTTTATATCTACAACTATATTTTCCTGAATTTTAAGTTCTTGAAAGGCCCAACCCATTTCGTCTAACCTTTAATTTGTACTCCGTCTATGATGGGTGTCTGAATATTTCGTCAAGTAGATTGACTAAGTGCTTATGACGCATTGATATACTACAGACACGTACTGACATACATATATAATTTAACAACAGCAAAGTTGTGAACCAAGTTCGAATATTATCGAGAGTTTAAAACTTCCATCGTTTAGGTAGATTTTAAAAATTGATTCAGAGGCGACGGAAATAAAATCAATGGAAAGTGTTACAACGTTTCAGAGATTCCTGCTCATTTTAAGACATTGTTTGGAGGGGATAAAAATTGTAGGTTGGAATCTGTATGCGGCCAATTGTTGTAAATTGTTGCATATTTGGTGTCAGTGAAAGACCTTCTATTATTAATAAGATGCTGATCTCAGTGATAAGTATGGACCTGTTAGACAAAATAAGTCACACATCTTTTCCCTACATCTGCCATGGAAACATAAATATATATATATATATACAATGTGTTTGGTCACGACATACCGATATTTGAGGGGGATATTTTTCAGCTATTTTTATCGACAAATCCACCACCTACAATGTCATACCTCACCCCCCTTGAAATGGCAGCCATTTTTATTTTTACGTTACGATTACGATAGTGCATGTATGAAAATTGTAATAACTGAGTACGTAATTGTCACAGAATGATAAATTTGGTGTAATTTGAACGATGACATGTTGTCCTAGCGATTATTGAAAAACTTGTTTTGGTACTAACAGTCAAACATACTTAAAAACAGACAAAAACAGAAAAAATATGTAAGGAAATTGATTATTTTGTGCATTTCCGCACACTATTCGAAAACTAGACTGTTAAGTTGTACTTTTTTGTGCTAATTCTACAGCTTTTTGTTATCCTAAGTATTCTACATTAAGCAATAAATGCCAACTTACATGGGTCAAAATGGGTGTAATAAAATGCAAATTGTTTTCAAACTCTCTATACATAAAAATGACAAATCAATGTTTCTTATAGAGAGCTTGGACGTGTTTATTGTTACAGAAGCTGTTCAAAATGTCCTCCATTATTGGCTATTTTTTTTTGTATTCCAACTACCACGAAGGCCTAAGGCCTAAACACCCATTGGGTACCGTGGGGCTATAGGGGGATACAGGGGAAAGGGGGAACGCCACACGGACTCTGGCGAGGGAACACGTGTGCATGCAACATGCACACATTCTGGCTCCGCCTACGAGATCCGCCGGGTGGTACCTCCACGTTCGACAGTCAGAGACCATCTACCACCTACGGACAATCACAACATCCATAGCCAAGAGAAAAAGTTCTCCTGGAACGGGACTCGAACCTGCACAGCGCACGGCGACTATCAGGAGACCGAAGAGTCTACTACTGCGGCCACCGCTGCTGCACATTGTTGTTCTTAATATCCGTGTCAGCCCTAATTTCTATTTACTGAATTACTATCACATATCGCTGTTGGTAAACAAATAAATGAAATTATTTCACAGTACTTAGTCTCGTCATCATTTTATTCCCTCGAAAACCTACAACTTTCCCGTGTAACTTTTTCTAGAATGTGCAGTTTCAGAAATGGGGAAATTCAAATGGGCTATCGTGTATATCAAATGGAAATCAAGGGTGTCTGCGAATGGTTGGGAAATCTCGAAACTGCAGATACTACAGATCAAAATATGTGAATTATCCTAAACATATCTTTGTCCAAAAGTTGATAGTTTGCAAGATACAGGGTGTCAAAGTTAAAATTTTATTTTCTATTTTTCCTTACTGCTTGAGAAGTATTTCAGATTTTGGCACACAGCTCGGTATAGGTAGGTTTTCTAATATGAGAAACAAGAATCCGTTATTTTTTATGGCCAAACTTCTAGAGGGCGCCACTACAGCACTACTTCGGTAAATAACCTTGTATACAACAACCGACTGAACAATCTTATTTTCTCGTATTTCTACAACAAAAAAGGTTCACTTGTAAGAAGTGTCTAAAGCTAATAGTTTTCGAGATATTTGTTTTTAAAAGTTCCAATGCATTATTTGTACAATGTTGACAAAACATTTTTATAACATAATAATCAAGTTGCTTTGGATAATATCTGAGTAGCGTTGCTATGGTTTCTAATTTTAAGGTGACAATAAGTTGTTAAACATCATGGAGTACGTTTGATGAATATTCTGATATGCATTTAATGTACGGATTGGCAAGATGTAATGCTTTAAAAGCACGAAGATTGTACGCTTACAGATTCCCTAATAGACACCTGCCTAATCCAAAGACTTTCCAACGAATCGATCAGCGGTTACGAGAAACTGGTAAGAAATGATTATAGCCTCATTTTGAGTAGTAAAAACCATTTTGATTTTAGGTAGTTTTGCTCAAAATATGGGCCGACAGAACTGTACGTACAGCTGAAGTTGAAGAAAATGTTTTAGATGCTGTCTTTGAACATCCTACAGTTGGAGTTAGGAATGTAGCTGGAGAATTTCAAGTTTCCAAATTTACAGTAAATATCATTTCTCAACTGCTCCATCCATACCACCTGCAAAAAGTACATGGTTTAAGCGCGGATGATGAATCCGCAAGGGTAGAATTTTGAACACGGCTCTTAAGGAAGTTTAACCACGACAATGGTTTTACTTCGTTAATAATATTATTTTCGGGCGATGCTGGATTTGGAAGGGATGGGCCCATTAACTCGCATAATCTTCACATTTATGCAGACAAAAATCCTCATGCAATAATACAAACCCGCCACCAAGTACAATTTATGGGCAGGAATAATTGGGCAATATTTAATAGGACTCGTTGAGTTACCACCTATTAAATGGCCAAAGGTATTTACAATTTCTTGAAGAACAATTACCCATTCTGCTGGAAGATCTTCCATTACAAAGAGAGAGCACCTAAATAGAGTTTATCCAGACTAGTGGATAGGCCGATCAGGACCTGTATCGTGGCCGGCTAGATCAGCAGATTTAAAACCTATGAATTTATTCTTCTGGCGTTTACAACACGCCAGTGGAAACTGTAGATGATCCTCGACAAAGCATTTTCCACCATAGCTAGGAAATGAAAAATGACATCCAAATGCTTTGGAGAGTGCAGCAAGGGTTAGTTCGTCGAGCTCGAGAGTGTGTTAAGCAAGGAGGTGCTCATGTTGAACAATTTTTGTAGTTATTATTTCGGTTTATTAGTTTTGTTGCCATCCTCATTTGTTATTGTTAAAAACCATAGCAACGCTACTCAGATATTATCCAAAGCAAATTGATTATTATGTTATAAAAATGCGTTGGCACTTTTAAAAACAAATATCTCGAAAACTATTAGCTTTAGACACTTCTAACAAGTAAACCTTTTTTGTTGTGGAAATACGAGAAAATAAGGTTTTTCTGTCAGTTGTTCTATACAGGGTAGCATAACAAAGTTATGATAACCTATTTACCGAAATACTGCTATAAGTGGCGCCCTCTAGAAGTTTGGCCATAACAAATAACGGATTCTTGATTCTTATACTAGAAAACCTCCCTATACCGAGTTTTATGCGAAAATCTGAAATACTTCTCAAGCAATAAGGAAAAATGGAAAATAGAATTGTAACTTTGACACCCTGTATCTCGCAAACTATCAACTTTTGGACTAAGGTATGTTTAGGTCAATTCACATATTTTGGTCTGTAGTATCTCCAGTTTCGAGATTTTCCAACCTTTCGCAGACACCCTGTATATACGACTAAAGATCCCTCTTCATTCTCCCCAAATGATGCAGAATAGGTAATGGAGGTATTTTTTATGGAACTATTTTACGCTATTCTAACCCTAGTAGCCTTCAATTCTCGTACGAATAATCAATTTTAGGTCTAGGAATTATATTTTCTTTCCGAAGCAACAAGGATCAGGCTTAGACACCTTGATATCAAGGCATTCCCGTCACGGTAGAGACATAATGAGTCTTATGTTAGAATATGATGCAGAGAAAAGGTCAAATGTCAAGCGTCTCCTCATGCATTGCTACTTTGATGAAATACGGTAAGGAATAAGTTAACTCAAAATTTTCGGAGAAAATCAATATTTCACAAGCATTGTTGTACCTCTTTCATTGTGACTGAATACGGATTAAAGGACTTTGGCAACGTTTCTGCATATAAAAAATGGCGTCAAGTAGGTTGACTCTAACCACGCAACGTTGTCATCAGTTCATAAGCGATTATGCTCGGTACAAGTTAGTCCCTCTGAACTAGCTACAAACATATATAACAAAAAGATTAAAGGGATTAAGTCAGTCAAATAGACACATATAATTAGTCCATACTTCATAGTCCTCACACATTTAATAATGCTAACGCTAGTTACTTCCCTGCTCTAAGTATCGACCATCTGGCAACGGTGCGGAACCACACTAGTCTACCACTCCATCAGCGCCAGCCGCGAATCTGTAATTCGTGATAATCGGCGATGCAGCTAGAGTCAGAGTTAGTCAGACGCAGACAGTGCTCAGCGAATGGAGATTGGGATGGGATCGCGTGTCGCGTCTATAAATATTTCTCCGGGTTTTAATGGCAAATGTAAGGGAACATCTATGCCCTATCAAATATGTAATAAAGGTGTAAAATTACTGGAGTGAGAAGCACATATATTGCCTCTAAAAAATCAGATATACCCTCCGCCACCCCCTTCAAGCCCAAACCCTCGATTTTTAACCCCTTCAAAAATGGCGTCACGTAAGTACTTTCCACGCTATGCTGTCATCAGCTCGTAAAGGAATATGCTTGGCACAAGTTAGCCCTTCTGAGAAAAAAGTTAGCCACGAATTGCTACAGGTGCACATGATCGTTGCGATGACCAATCCCGCGTGAATGACGTTATTGACCTTCACCATGCACAGTACACGCAGCTCACAGTAGTGTGGAAGCGATTGTGATGTACGACCACCAACGACGACACTTGTCCATCAAAAAACGACTGTAGGAGATATTTCAAGGATGAATGCACGGGGACATCTTTGTTGAGTGAAATATGCCAAATATGTGCGTAGAATTGTTGGGGTTGAAGGCGTATAAATATACCAACGTCAGATATACCCTCATCCACCCCGTGAAACCCCCAACCTCCAATTTTTAACCCCAACAAAAACTTTCCAAAATGGTCAGGATTGTGTGAAACGCCAACAAGCGAAGTATGAGCGATTTTAATTTTTTTTTGGCCTTTTTCTCTGCCGCCACTGGACCGATTTTCAAAAACTACAAATCTTTTGAATCTTTGACATAGTAGTAAGATTGTGTAAAAATTTCATTCAGTAAGCGTGGGAAGTAAATAGAGTATTAATATTGCAATCGTTTTCAGAGAGCAGTCCAAAGATATCTCAAGACCAGAAAAGTGGTTTAAAACAAAAGAGGGCACTAAGAGGTGCATGGGAGATACTGGTGTAACTTGCACCTCAGTAAGTACCATTTTTAAATTTAGATAATAAAATAATAAGAGGTGGCTATAGAAAGGCCAAAATTGTTGGAAATCCCATTCATCATGTTTTACCTTCAGCTAAAATAGTAGTCCATTTATTTAAGAGATTATTCCATCGATTCGAAGACCAGTTGAATGCCGAAACGAAGATTCTACTTCCGTTGTTGGACTATTTTCTCAAGATAAGTTGTTAATCAAAGGTCTTATCTAGAAATTGAAGAAACAACCGAGGTGTGAACAGTTTCTGGATGAGATCAGGAGGAGCAGTAAGGGAAGTAGTAGCAAATGCAGTTCCAAAAGTAATGGCAGCAGTAAAGAACAAATCAAATCCATCACATTGCCTTCTATACAAATTCCCTACTATACTGGAGTGCTACCTAAAAAGACCGAGAATGCTGATCTGGCATCACTACCTTTGGTTGATTACAAGGTGATCTGTCAGATAAACCAGGACATTCATCACAATTCCACCGATTATCTGAACCGGAAAATGGAGAAAACAACGCATACGAGGTCCCATAGTCTAGGGAAATGTGCAGTGAAAATGAGGTAACTATTCATCATCATTTTTAAATGTCAAAAATTGGAGGGCCACCAAGCTACAATATGAAAAAGGTACGTAGGTTCCGTAAATGCCTTATTTTCATGATACAAATAGTTTAAACTTGTTCGTCTTTGATAGTTCACCTTATATTTATCTAAAACAGCCATACTCAAAGTATGCTCCGCGGAACCCTAGGCTTCCGCGAAGCCTCGATAGGGGCTCCTCGAGAATTTTTGGCCTATATAATATAATAATATACTGTAATATAAAAGAGTGAGATGGAAAGAGTACTACCCACAATACGCTTGCTTCTTCCGCGTTTACTCACTTTTACGTCGCGTGGTCTGCTGACTGCTACTGTCTACATTTGCCGAAGGTTGGGTTGGGACTAAAGGCCGCTACACACTCAAGCAAGAATCTTGCCGATAATCTCGGCGAGCGCTTCTTTGGGTCCACACTTGCAAGGTTCTCACGCTCGATGACGATGGACGCAGAATTAAATGTCGCGAAAAGCTTATTACTATGCGTATTGGCATATTATACTTACGCCTATATGTATTAAAGATAAAAATCAAATTAAAAAGATGTGCAGAAAAATAAGCTGATGGATGACACGTTTACATTTAGTTCTATCCCCAAAGAAAGAAATCCATATACTTATATGCGGACCATATTGGCTGTTAAGCATCGTCTACAAGAGAACCATATTTTTCCGATTTCTTTAATGGGTAATTCCATCAAGGTACTAATACGTTTCCACGCATCGTAGGCGTTTAGTTTATTCTTATAGTGTTTTAAATTTGTATTCCACTAAATAGTTTTTGCTTGGAAAAAATTCTAGGAATGTCAATGTTTCACATTCACGTTCATCGTGTTTTTCTGGCAGATTCTCGCATGTGTGTGGAGCGGCCTTATCGAAAGGCGCCTATCAATTATCAAATATTCTCGCCGGTCTGTTCTCTGGATGTAGATGCGCACTCGGTTGCACGACTGATCACGTGATGTAGCCGAGCTCAGTCGGAGCCGAACTCTGCGACACCGCGCCCTTCAGACGATTCGTACAATCAGTTCAGTGAATTAGTTCATGTTACATGTTACGTCGTACGGTCATACGATTCGCGATACGTGGTATTTTTGAGTTCGAGTTGTGTACCTAAAGACAATATTATTCTGTTCGTTTTGCTGTACATACACAAACTACTTGTGATTAATAACAATGGAAAGTTGGCTTAAAGGCCTCAAACGTGTTGCAACAAAATCTTCCGACGAAGGCGAAGATTCGAAAGAAGTACGCAGGCAGGAGGATGCAGCAATTCCAGATCAAGACGGTGATGCGACGACGTCAATCAGCACGGTTTCAAAGCCGAAAAAAAAATGTGATGAATCATATATCAGTTTCGGATTTGTTGATTCCAACGGATCACCTCTCTGTTTGTTATGTAGTAAACTGCTTCCTAATAGTTCCATGGTACCTGCCAAGATGCGCCGACATTTAGAAACAATACACTATGAGTTTAAGGATAAGAAAAATGATTTTTTTCTTCGTAAAAAAGAGGAGTTGCTGAGAAGTCAGAAAACTATGATGCACACCACGCAAACTATCAATGAAAAAGCCACGGAGGCATCGTATTTAGTTAGCTATCACGTTGCACAAGCAGGTGAAGCGCACACTATCGCTGAAAATTTGATAAAACCATGTGTGTTAGATATAACAAAGTGTATACTCGACGATAAAATAGCAGAACATCTTTCTACTGTACCACTATCGAACGATACTGCACGCCGAACCTGACATGAGACTTCAACTCTCTCCTATCAAACCCGACATCAACCAGTTGATGAAAAAAAAGAAACAGTTTCATACCTCACATTAGATTTTTAACTCTTTTCTTAAATGTTTTTTGTCTACTTACCTAATAGGACTAATAAGTAACCTTACTATTGTATTATACCTATTCATATTACGATTATAAATAAATGATGCACATAAAGGTATTGGTTTTATTCAAGGGTTCCGCGAATTATTTCGTTTCCAAAAAGGGTTTCGTCATCCAAAAAGTTTGGGAACCGCTGATCTAAAACAATTATTGTTCCTCGTCTTAAATTTAATCATTGTTCACAAAATGTCATTTTCAACATAAATGTCAAACAAAACTGAATGAAAATGACTCGACACTAGAGAGTTTTTAGTGTCATTGTTTTGCTGCTTCGTTATGATCTTCCTCATTCCGATTTTGCTCAGTAGCTAGTCTGTCCTACTTTATCAGTTATCCAAATGAGAAAGCACCGTTAGTTACGAAGAATAGGGGAGGGATTATTTCGTAATGTTATATTTTGCTTATTCAGCGCTGTTGCCGGAATCTGTATAGCTCGAGAGGCTTAACTGAATTTTAAATTATAAAAACCTTTTGATTAAAATATAACAGAAATATGTTTTAGACGACAGATGAAAATAAATAACTTTTATTGTAGTTCTGACAGATAGATAGATACATTTATTGTCTAGTAGATCATACAATGACATAAGACTCGTCCTAAGGGGGAGGTATACTTTATCTGAAGTCACTTGAAACACTGTGAAATACCGGGTGCGTTTTATATATCTATATTTAACACGCTCTGTTGCTGCAAAAATCGCCAAATTTCGCAGCAAATATAAGTATAAGAGATCAAAGGCAGTTTCACCGGTCCACGTGGAGTAAAGCACGCCTATGCGTGGACATAGCCAATGAGAAAGCGTGTATTTCAGAGCTCGGAACAAGTGCAGGTGGCTACTGAAAATTGAAACAGTTTAGCCAGTGCCGTGAATAAACGTGTTTTCTTTAGTCTGTCCGTGTTTTTTCATAGATTTTATTAGTTTCTGTGTTTTTGACTTTTGAATACTCAGTTTACTTGTTGATTTAATTGTTGTGTTGATTGTTCTTGTGTGTCCTAAATATGGCTCTTTGGAGACCTTGGGAAAATGCTCCAAGCCACGAGGAGATGGTTGATGAACCTGTGCAGGCAGAATTCTTTCATAAAGATTTAGATGAACAGACCCAAAGAGTAATCCTAAATATGTATGATTGTCTGAAAAACGAAAATCCAGATTCCTCGCAAAATCAAATTTTAAACAGAATTTGTATCCTGACAAAAATCAGTCGGTCTACCATTTATCGGGTTATAAAAAGGGGAGATGTAGTCAACCATTCCTTCCACAGAAAGCGCATAGGGCAAAAATTAAAAAGAATAGACGTGGGTTTTCAGGAAGATATTCGTCGTATAATATACGGATTTTATAAAGAAAATTTGGTGCCCACATTGGAAATGATACGGGATAAATTAAAAGATTATCCTGAAGATTTTTATAATTACAAATGCTTAGACTCACTGCACTGTATTGTAAAACTGTGTGGTTTTCAATACAAAAAATTAGATAAAAGAATGGTGATTATATAGTCGTCTCGAATCGTTGAATTGCGCCAAGAATTTTTGCACAAAGTTAAAATCTATAGAGAGCAGAAAAGAAATCTGATTTACCTGGATGAAACGTGGTATGATACCCATTATGTTGTGCAGTACGGCTGGGTTGACGACAGCAACAAGTGCATTTTAAATGCACCATGCAACCGTGGAAAACGAATCATTATTCTCCATGCTGGCAGTGAAAATGGATTTATACCTAATGCCTTGCTGTTATCTGCCAAAAATATCAAAGAATCATGTGCCGACTATCATGAGGACATGACCTCCGACTTATTTGAAAAGTGGATAGAGCAGCAGTTAATACCAAACATTTCCCCAAATTCAGTGATTATTATGGACAATGCGCCATACCATTCCCGACAGAAAAACAAAATTCCGAATACAGGCACAAAAAAACAAGACATTATTGATTTTATGAAGGATAAGGGAATGGAAATACCACAAAAATCAACCAAAGCCATATTATTGGATCTTATTAAAAGACAAAAATTTGAAAAAGAGTATGTTGTTGACAATCTGCTTCAGCAAAATGGCCATGAAGTATTACGTCTACCTCCCTATTACTGCATTTTTAACCCGATTGAGTTGGTCTGGGCTGCTTTAAAAAAAAAGTAAGAAAACACAATCAGACCCCTCAATTAAGTGAATCGCTATTGGCCACAATAAGAGATGCAGTATCTCATATTGCTGCCACAGACCTATGGAAGCAGTGTTCTAGGCATATTATTGAAAAAGAAAATGAATATTGTGTTTTGCCTCCTGTAAATCCCGTTGTAATTCCTCTACAAGATGACTCTAGCGACAGCTCCGAAGGCGAGGATGATATATAAATACCTATAATGTAAGTCTTTATATACCTACCTGCTATGTAAATATTTGCCTATGTCAAACGTTGGAATTCTGTAATTTTTCCATTTCTTAACTTTCAGTCAACATAAATTAAACTCCCAATATAAGTATTTTTTATCCCAAATCAAAAAAATAAGAAGATAGTAAAATCCATTTATTGTGATATAAAAACATTATTATTATCGTTCTAAATAAATGCCGCACGCCTATGATACGTCATGAAATTACAAAGGACGCGCCGACCAAAGGTTTTTATGCTATTTCAAGTGACTTCAGATACACCATACATAGTACACTTAATTAAAAGTAAAAACAAAACAAACATAAGTATTAGAAAGTACAAACAGGAACAACTTAAGGCGTACAGGCGTACACATATAAAAAGTTTTAAAAATATATCACAGTGCGAGGTATTCAGACAAAGAGTAGAAACATTTTTCAACTAATAATTTTCGTAGGTGACATTTAAAACTAGCAATACTACTGACATTCCTGAGGTTAGCTGAAAGTTTTTTATATATTCTATGGTTTTGTTGTCACTTCTCCTTCTGTGGTTCTACGATTCTAAACCTGTTCATGTATTGTCCGGTTTAGATGAAAATATTAAGGAACTTTTCTATGAAAAATTTAATAAGGTTTTGAAATTTTGGGATTAGCTTCATGTCAGAATTGAAAAAAATAAGCAACCTGTCAAGACTGTGGGTAGGCAGCACTGCCAAATTACCACGGCTCACTTTAGGTGTGCTAGACACTCTTTTTTCGTCAACATTCGTTATTTGCTGTCATTCTCAAAAATAACGTAACGAAAAATCGTTATTTTTGTAGCTGTGAAAGCTCTAAGATCTAATGCATCAGCATACACTCCCCAAAATGAAATATCTTGGGTTCAAACAGAGCTGCAACAGAAAATCCCCTACCCAGGATTTTATTATTATAAATCTTCACAATGCCAGCAACAGATCTTTTGTTTATAATAAAATTTAATTATGTTTACGATTTTTGTCATTAAAGTATATAATTGCTACAATATATTGTTTGTTCTGGTAGAAAGAAATGTTGTTCCTAGATCTTGCAGAAATCATCTTTTCCACATTCAACTGCAGACTGCAGCCGTGTGCGGAAAAGCATCATATTTCGCACTTGTTAAAAAAATAACTACATTGGGTATTATGATTCAGAATATTGATATCCTCTCAAAATATCGTTGCAATACTTCAATTTTCTTTCTAGCAATCTAGATCCCCAGGTGCAGAGTCAACCAGGCATGGCAAATATTCACCAGTTACAATCTAAATCAGTGGTACTTCCAAAAAAAGTATTCCAACGAAAGAAAAGGAGTAACAGCGAAAATGATAAGTCTGCTATGTCAAGAATGAGATTACATAACTGCCATAGATGTTCATAGTTTATGGGTTGTCATAAAATGTCCATAGTAACTGTACGAGTTATCAATAAAACGATGTAGATGGCGTGTTGCGAAGTTTACGAAGTCCTGTTATTAGATAATGGTAGCCATCACAAAACATATCGTAGCCATTGTTTCCTAACAAAGTTCAGTATTGGCATGACGCCTGTAAATCAGGAGAACCGGCGAAATGAGAAAAAACTGCGCATGCAGTGTTGCCAGTCTAGTACAAATGTACTAGATCTAGTACATTTTAACATGATTTTGTACGCTAGTACGTTTTGTTGAAAATCTAGTACGACTTTCGAATTTTTCAATAACAACTTTAGTTCAGACTAGTAAAACATGAAACACAACAATTTTGCCCTGATGAAATGAAAAGTATCATTAGAATTGAACTTAAACTGTAAAACAAATCATTTTCGCATGTTTGGCGTGTATGGTGTATTCTGGGTTGCCTATTATCGTGTGCAGAAATTAGGCAGCCACGCAGCCAGAAATTATTGAAACTAATGACAGATGACAGACTGTTTGGGAGGGGCATAGTAGAAAGAAGGTTAGAAGGGTGTGCAATTTAAAAATTTGAAAACAAACCATAAACACCGAATTTACATTCAGTTATAGGTCTTTTCTTTGGCTTAAATGGTTTGTTGTTATTAACATACGTGTGTGGCTTATTGCTTATTGGTAATCCCCTATCCCTTTAGTTAGTTGCTCCGATTCTCATCTCAGATCAAGGGGTTTCCATTATGGACAGGTAAATAATATTATCACCTAATTGAATTTTCTAAATTTGCAATTGCAAAGTGCAATATTTTTGTTACAAACAGAATAATTTTTATAGGTTTTTGAAGAAGAAAAAAGAACCTACAACTGAAGTAGCAAGTACATCAGCCGTTAGTTCTTCCGAGAATACAGATAGTATGACTTCGTCTGAAGAAATTCCTAGCACGCCTCAGGTGGAGAAAAAGAGGAAAAAACACTACAAACAAAAATTTAGATCAGAGTGGATACGAATCTATCCTTGGTTAGAAGAAAAAAAACAACAATCATTCTGTAAAGCTTGCTCAAGATTTATTGCTGGAGGTTTTAAACATTTAGGACGACATGCATCATCACAGACTCATGAAAAAAACATCATAAAAGCAAAAAAGACACCAACCACCGTCACAGTCTCTTTGTCGTAGACAGATTGTTTACAAATAAATTATGACACTTCGTGTGGTGTGTCAAAATGTCAATCATCCCCAAAAAAATACCTTGTGTACCTTCGAACATTCTGTGTTCTGTGTACATATATTATTATTATTATATGTATAAAAAATGGTTGTTCTGTTTAGTTCCTAAGAATACCAAAGATTTTAATTTGATTTTTATTATGTTTACTTATTTTATTAGTTTTAGGTATATGATTCCTTAGATCTAGTTTTTATACTGTTTTTTGTTTTATATTCAGTTTTTAAATATATATATATATATATATATATAATATTATTTTGCCTGTTATTTCCTATTTATCCTCACAAGTATTTTATATTAAAAATAGTAAATAGTGTGAGCAGCAGCTTAAACTGAATCTAGTACAATTTATTATAATCTAGTACATTTTTCGGCTCAAGGCTAGTACACTTCGATCATAAATTCTGGCAACACTGTGCGCATGCGCAGGGTATCGGAGGTTAGGATAAATTTCAATCTCAGACTAACAAATTAAGGTGATACTAAATTCATCCATTCATTCATTTACAACTTTGATAATATTTTGCAACGGCATTTGGAGAGCAATAGCATCTCACATAGGTCCGAATTGCTACTTGTGCAGAAGAGAGTGATTCGTACAATGACTTTTAGTAATAAGCTCAGATCTTGTCGGCAGCTATTCCCTTTATATTTTTAGTTGTGTATGTCATGTTCGAAAAAAATTTGCATAATATGAGTCGTGAAACAATGTGGAGAGTGGTTACAATCTGAGGAATACCCACTGTCTGCGTACCCCACAACATAGCCTCGCTTTATCAGCATCACAAGTTGCCAATAGTTATCAGAGCTGCCACAAATTTCAATATTTTCGAACGCCGCGATAAAAATAACATATATCCATAGAAAACCCTTTTTACATCGTTGAATAATACTAATCCTCAGACTTGTAAATTGAATATGATTATTTTTGATGTTTTCAACCTGTGCATCCGCCATGTTTAGTTTATTTGTTATTTAATCATTTAACTTTAATCTGTTTATCTTGTTATTTTTTGTATATTGTATTATCTAGTTTATTATAAGCTAGTCGACATGGCGTGGTATCTTCTGGTTGCCAGCTATAGATACTGTGATAAGCCACAGCCTTCTTAAACTAACAAGCCGTGCTCATATATGTGGCAACGTCGCATCAGCTGTTATGGGTAGTCCGACGCGCTGCGGTGGTCTGACGACTACAATAGGCTAATCCAGGCTGTGGCTAATCTAATCACAATACGGGTATGCAACTATGCAGGGGTATGCAGAGAGTGCAGCAGAGTATAAAATATGTTGAAAATTATAATATAATTTCCTAAGCTGATAGTATGGCATGAGAGTTTGTATTTAGTATAGTGGTGAAATAAAACAAATTAAATAACTGCAAAACATACAATATTTATTAGAAAGAAATTTTATAAAAGTTCCTTGAGCATCAACATATTACTATCTAGAACACAATTTTTAACTACACAACTTAAGCTTAAATGAGATATAATATAATATAATATTTCATATACATAGGTTAACTCATTTATGAAAGGTACACATCTTTCTTTTCTTCTGTGAGTTATGCGAGTCTGCAAGCTTTTTATTTTTCAGTTTTTGATTTTCAATATTAGCATTATTTTTATTTTTAACATAGTTATTCAGAAAAATGTTGCTGAAAATGGAGCAAATCATATTCAGAATTTTTTCATATTTCCTATTACAAATTTTACATGTTTGTGCAAAATCATCATAATAATGATCCGATTTTATACTTTCAATTGTGAGCTGACACAGAAGAAGTTTCTGTTGACGACACCCAATAAATTTAACTTCACAATCTTTATTACCCATTATGAATTGCATTATTGAAGCCATATGGTAGAAAATATAAGAAACTCGTTCAGAAGGTATTGATAAACCATTTCGCTGGAGGTAATCGAAGTAATCATTCCCTGTTAATTTTCCTTTATCAATGCGTACAAGGGAAATGCAGCTTTCACAGTTGTTAAGTTTTTTTGTTATTGCATGACTCGCATATCCAGAAGTATATATTTTTGTTGATTCATCAACATCCACAACTTGCAAATAGTTTGATTTCAATATGAAAACAAAGTCGCTCAATAAACATTGATTGCTTTCAAACGAATCTAAAATATCATTGTCGGAAATCATTGAAAACTGTTCTTTTATATTTGCTAATGTAACATTCTTATTTATACCTTTGAAAATATGTTTTACTCTAATTTTATTTTCAGCAGACAAAACATCGTCTAATGATACATTGTAATTGCAGCCTGAGAGGATTCGATAAACACCAAATCTTTTTTCTAAATTTTCACTACTAAATTTTCCTGGTAATATAAATTTAATGGAATAATTTTGGAAACAGTATTTTATAATCTCTATTAAAACATAGGTACTTTGTTTGATTGCTTGGAATGTTTCATTAGTAAGGTGACCATTATTATTCTCAATTTTGTGCCATTTATCGAGCCAAACAACAAATTGTTCTAGAAAGTGAATCCTTTCGTCAGAAATGCTTTCAAAAGGCTTACACCAGTCATTCCTCTTTATGGTGCCTTTTAATACATCTCTGGTGTTAACAATGTCCCACCATTTTCTAATAATTTCCACAAAATCAGCTGTATCCTGATACTCTGGAACACATTTCAGGGCTGATATCGTGGACTGGTGGAACACATTGTCAGCTAAATGTACTTTTTGTCTTTCCAGTGTCGATGGATACAAAGATTTAAAATTCAATTTGTATGCTTGTTTAGTCAATAAACACTTTTCTTTCTCATAAATATTTTCAATATGTTGAAATTTTGCGTATTTCAATTCGTCATTTGTAAAATCATAACAAACAAAAGTTTTATGAAGGTTTTTAAGGTTGATCCAATTTTTCCAAATATTTTTGAATATATGCACAAAATCAAATAAAAGAAATATGTTTTTTTCAGAACTTTTTGGATTGGAGAACCAAAATCCATTATGCGAGAGATTTTTAAACATAATTCTGTTTATTGAATGGTTATCTGTTATTATACATATAATTTCGAAATTGCAGGCTTGGACTAAATCAATCACATCTTTAGTCATTTTTGCTAGTTCTAACCCTTTAACATTATGTACAGGCCACAGTTTTATAACTTCATTCATTTGACCAAAGACTGAACTTATCATAAATGTTACAATTGTTTTGGCAAACTCACAGTCATCAGTAGAATTTTCATTTTCCGCAGAGCCAACTAAACTTTGTGATCTATAATCCATCCTACTTGATACATATATTTCATCGATAATCAATGCTACTATTTTTTCATTATCAGAAAGCCCTTTACAGATATTAAGCAAGTAATTTTTGTTATTCATATCATCTCTAGGTGAGACATGTAAAGATGATGAGATACTTTGGAGGTATCTTTTATGAGGAAGCACAAAAAAGTCTCTTATAACATTGTAGCAAGATGGAGACTGGGAATATATTATAAATGACATGATAATTGTTGCAGGACAATACCGATTTTTGTTAAAAACCATTTGCTTCAACTAGTCAATGATTAATTCAAGATGTTTGTTATAAGCAAATGCTTCATCTTCACATTTGACATAAGCTTTTGATATCAATTCTATTGCTCTGTTAAGCAGGTCCATTATTGAAAGTGATTCATTAAAATTATTTGTTGAATTATAATGAGATAATAAATTGTTTAGCTGTGACCATCTCTCTAATTTTAAATTACATGGCAAAATCCATTTTAGGTCACTTGCTGTCAGTTCATTTCCTCTTAAAAAAACCTTAACATGTTGGGACTCATCAATTTTAATTGTATTATTTACTGTCAA